ACAATCATTTGGAAACTCCAGCTCAGACAAGAGTCCCATAACAAAAGATTACACAATATTCTTGGACCTCCACAAGAAAAAAAACTACAACTCAATTACAAAATGGACAAAGACATCGAAAGAATATTCGAATGACCAGTGGACACATGAAGAAATGTTCAAAATCACTGGCAATAAGAGACACACAAATCGAAACCACAATAAGATACCATCTAACACCAGTAGTAGTGGTAAAGTTTTTAACAGGACAGCAAGTAATAAATGTTGGAAATATTAATATCTGATGAAGTACACTTCAAGACAAAAATGTGTATCATAAGAGACAAGGAAAAGCATTGTATAATGATCAAAAGGTTAATTCAACAAGAGGACATACCTAGTTTTGGAGAAGAGTACTGAATATCTCATCAACCTGCCAAAAGAACATATATGTCTTAGAGAAAGAACAACCAGGGTGGCTGCACTTGAAGGCAAGGATGATGAAGCTTAACTTTACATATTTTTGGCCATGTTGTTAAGAGGGGCCAGTCCTTGGAAAAATACATCAGGCTTGGGATGGTGGAGAGTCAGCATAAGATAGGAAGGCCCTCAACAAGATGGATTGACACAGCAACTGTATCAACGACCTCAAGTCAGAGATAGTAAAGGTTGTACAGGATAGTTCAGGATTCAGATCCATTGTTCATAGGGTCACTATGAGTGGTAGTCAACTTGACACTACATAATAATGTTGAAGTTTTAAACTATTTCATTTTATGTGGAGCCATAACCATCACCAATGGCAGCAGTGGTCAAGAAATCAAATGGAATGTTGCATTGGAAAAATCTATTGTCAAAAGCTCTTCAAAGTACTAAAGAATGTCAGTTTAAAGGCTAAGGGGTGACTGATCCAAGTCATGACATTTTCAGTTGCTTCTAATGCATTTGAAAGTTGGTTAACAAATAAGGATGGCAGAAGAAACGATGCCTTTGAGTTGTAGTGTTGGGAAAGAGTACTAAATAGTCATAGACTGCCAAAAGAAAAACAAGTCTACCTTGGAGGAAGGACTGTCAGGGTGCTGTTTAGAGGCAAGAATGGGGAAATTCGCAGTCCTATACCTTGGACATATTGTCAGGGTAGGGGAGGCAGTCTTCAGAAAAAGACATCAAGCTGGGAAAAGTGGATAATCAGTGAACTGTCCAAATTTAGGAGACTTAATCTATGAATTTGGGGGATGATTTGGAGGATGATTATCTATAGTCTAACCTATGGCATATTTCATCAGTGAAAGGGGAAATTTTAGGAGCCTTAATCTGTGGTCTAGTGGCAAGAAGCTGCACTGCAATCCTGGAGGCAAGTGGTTCAAATTTACTAGCTGTCCATGGGGGAAAGATGGGCGATCTCCTCCAGTGAGATTGACTGTCTTTGAAAACCTACTGGAGGGAAAGCTATGGGTCAGATCCTAGTCAATGGTACACAACAACAACAACAACAATCTGTGACATGCCTCCAAAGCACTCCAGCTACACACTCTCCAAGACTTACTTGTTTGTTCTTTTGGCAATCCATAGGATGGTCAGAACTCTTCTCCAATTGATGTTCAAAGGCATCAATTCTTCTCCTACCATCCCTATTCATTATCCATTTCTCAGATGCATAGCAAGTGATTGGAAAGATTATGGCCCAAAACAGAGGCACCTTAGTCCTTAAACTGACATCATTACTCCTTCATAATTTGGAAAGGTCCCTAATTGCAGATTTTCCCAGTACAGTGCATCTCCCTATTTCCTGACTGCTGGTACCAAGGGTGTTAATTGTGGATCTGAGCAAGATGAAGCTGTTGACAGTTTCAATCTCCTCTCCATCCATCATGACACTGGCTATTGGTCCAGCGGTAAGAATCTTTTTTTGTCTTGCCTTAGAGATGCAATCCATATCGAAGGGTGCATTCCCTGATCTTCTGAAACAAGTATCAAGTCCCCCTCACTTTCAACAAGCAAGGTTGTATCATCTGTATAATGCAGATTGTTGATGAATCTCCCTCTGATTCTGATGCCATATTCCTCTTCATAGAATCCATTTTCTCAAATAATTTACTCAGCATACAGATTGAATAAGTATATAGACAGAATACAACCATGATGCACTCCCTTCTTAATTTTAAGCTATGTAGTGTTCCCTTGCTCTGTTCACACAACAGTCAAGGTATAGGTTTTGCATAGATAAAAAGAAAGGCACTGTAGAACAAGTGAGTGACCAGACACTTTTGTTACTGTAATCAATGATATAAAATATGTATGAATGATTGAATGGAAAATCAGTATGACTTTTACTCAAGTCACAACAAAAGAAAAAGCAACAATGTGACATAGAATAGTCCAATTATTATCATGTAACTTCTGAACAATTAGTCACTTAAACAGCAGCCAAATGAGCCAGATAAATCACAGATCATTGTGGCTTGATACCTTTAATACGACTAAATTAGAATCTACTTTGGAGAGGCTCCTATGTGAAGGCATTGAGTTTTTTGGTTTTTATCTGGGTTATGCCTCTCCCCACCTTCTTTTTTTAAAAAACAACTTCCATCCCATGTCTTTATTTTTTTATTTTATGTTGCTTTATTTACACACTTTAAATATATTGTTTTTCACAAAAGTCATTGGCTTTTGAAAGGTGGGTTCTTTTTTATTTTGGTTGAAGGATTAGGTGTGGACTATCTGGTTGTTTTTATTTCACTCACATCCCTGTGTGAGTTGATTGGATTTGCTGGATTTGGCTAAGAATGAGCTGTTGCCTAGAAGCCTCTTGTTTAGAGCCAATCAGGGCCTGGGGCACAGGCCTGGGTATAGAAAAGTTGCTTGGGTCTGAGGGCCTGCAGCCCTTGGGCTTGGTTTTAATCACGTTTAGAATAAACAATCTTCTAAGACATACAGCCCTGGTCTGCAAACTCACTTTACTGAAGTAACTTGAAGTTGCTGTAATACTTAATGCTGTGCCCCTAGTGTGTCAAATGCTATAATGGTCACTCATGATGGTCAGTGTTTGGTGGAACTGTCAGATTAAGACAGGTTTGAAAACAAGGGTGGTAGCCACTTCCTAAACAACATGTCAGTAGAAACTCTATAAACTTAGAGAAACAGTAGTTATAGAACAGGATTGAGGTCTTCTGTTCATAGGGTCACTATTAGTTGTGCTCGACTTGATAGCACTTAACAACAACAAATTAGAAATTAGGTATTTTATGAGTAATCTGAGAAACAAATTAAAAAGGCAGGCAGAAGTGGCAGAAGTGTTTTGAGGAATTAAAAGAAAAAATCAACTAATAAAGAATTTTTATTTAATAATCTTTTAATTATTTTTCAGTAAACTGACACCCATTTCAGAGGTATCTCAAGGTCGATGCAAGCAAATGGGTGAGAATAAAATCAAGATCTAGATTCAACTGTGTTCATCAGGGATGATGGGCTTCAAGCTCTTTTTCATCTATTAATAAATGTTTCCATGTTTTTTAATAAAAAAAAATGTCTTTGCTTGCACAGAAAATGTCTAACCAGATGTCAAGACACAATAGGGGAAGTTGAAGAGGTGAAGTATGGAGCGTAGAGGTGAGAGGCTGAATGGAAGGTCTGGGTCTTTTTGCAGGAGTGAATAGGTCTTCTGAGACAAGAAGAATCAGAGACAGAGCTGGGGTTGGGAGAAGGTGGATATGGGAAGTGGATTCTAGATAACACTTTCCCAAGACAGCAGAAGAGATGTCCTACATTCCAGAGCAGAAAATTCCCCTCTCCGATTTTTACTTATCTACCCACACCTCCTAAAGTCCACACTGATCTCTCTTCTGTATCTATCTGGATCCTAGAGTGAAGTCCAGTAGTGACTTGACACCTAGAATCCTATAGGTATGTGTGCCAAAAATTGCTGCAATTTTGCCCAAAAAGGATCTCTGATCTGTGATATAAGTCCTCCTTTAGGTCCTCCCCAAATTTCATTTCTCTTGGTGAAACACTCATACATCAAGGCCCAATTCAAGCATCAGCACTAAACAGAAGGCTTCCTACTGCAACACCTCTCTGTCACCTTCTTCTAAACAACCCAGAAGGCCCAGAGGATCTGTGACTGGGGGACATAGACATTGACAGTGTTAGCAGGGCCATGAAGACCCATCTCAGAGAGACAGATGGCAAACCACCATTTTAATTTATTTGTGGTTATAATACAGTGTGTTGAGAACTAGCACTGTTTTGTAGGAAGCTCTGGTGGCATGATCCTTAGGGAGTTAAGCTGCTAACTCATAGTTGACATCACTCTGGCAGTTCAATTCTACCAACAGCTTCAAGGGAGAAAGATGAGCAAGCTCATCCCAGGCGATTTCCAGACTCTGAAAACCCACCAGAGGGTCCATCAACTCGAGGGCTGAGAGCGAGGTTGTTTTGTACGTTTTTGTTTCATGTATTTTCTGCAGGTCTTCTATATTTTAAACACACACAAGAAATGAAAGAAGCAAAAACACAACAATGAAGGGTTAGGACAACCCTGGAGGCACCCCTCTATCATGTCCTCTGGGGTGAGTGATGTGTCTGCACAACACCAAGCCTCCCAGAGCAATGTTTCCATTGAGTGAGAAGAAATGTAAGAATATTGCCAATTATGAGAGATTTCTAATGAATTAAAATAGAATAAAGTGTCTACTAAATGTCAGAGAGCGCAGATGTTCTGTAGGCAGTTGAGCTTCTGACTCAAAGGCTGTGTCTCTCTGGTGATTCGAATCCACCAGCAGCCCCAAGGGGGAAGCAATGGCAATAGGTGAATGAAGTGTTTGTTGAACGGATGAGTGGTAGGTGTCTTAATTATAGATATATAGGTCTCCATGTTACTGTCCTTTAGATGAATGTCTATGTTGGTCCCGCTCTCCTGCTAACTTACAAGACTTCCTAGAGGAAAAGGCACAGAGATTCCTAGTCTGGTCTAGAAAGGACCATGCCTAGGGAGAAGTCCCAGCTTGGACTGACCAAAGATCCTACTCTCGCAGAAACTGTGTCTTGGATCCTGAACTCAGCGGCTTTAGGTGGAGGTGGATGCCGTTCTTGGAGCGCAGGACCAGCTGAAGCAGCTTGATGGGGAGGCGAGAGGGGTCCAAGGAGAACTCAAAGCGCAGCAAGCATAGCGCTGTCACCACCTTCATCTCATTCATGGCAAACTGCTGCCCAATGCAGTTCCTGCAGTGAGCACACACAAAAAAAGAACACTTGAGCTCTGGGGTGTCCAGAGAAAACGAGATTCATTCCAAAAAACAGGCAACAGATCTACAGAAACACATGCTCTTAAGTAGTGTGGCCTATCAAGATTGATAACTAGTTTTGTGTGAATAATCAGCTGATTAATTCATCTGCGTTTAAGGAGGGTCTTCTGGGAACATGGTGAGAGTACCAGACAGAGGAGATTCATACTCTGCCGTGGGATTCTCTGCTGTAACAACTCACATACCCATTCAACTCTCGAGAGGAAGACAATGAATGAGAATGGCATCAAGAAGGGTTCTGGAGACCATTCCGTGCTAGGATCACATCCCCACCTTCCTGGTCCGTCTTATTCACAAAAAGCCCCAAATGATGCTCCTACATAGTCATCAGTATTCACCTCCCCCATCCCAAGGATCAGGGCATGCTGGACCTCTCCTACCTGGGCCCTGCAGAAAAGGGCATGAAAGCGAAGGCGTGGCGTCCAGCCGCATTCTCAGGGGTAAAACGCAGGGGATCAAAGACCTGAGTAGACAGAGCTTTGCTCAAATTTCTGTTATATCTCAGAAGAGGTAATTTAGATAGCACCCCACAATTCCACCTTTTCTCCAGAGCTAAAAATGGGAATACCTCGGGGTCACGCCACACAGCACCATTCCTGTGGAGGGCATAGATGTGCAGAGAGACCAGACTACCTGTAGGCAGAGCAAAAACTCTTATGACCAGTGGTCCACCTCCTCCTACAAAGCATTGATTCCTATGTTAACACCTCCTATAGCTGATAGTCCTTGCCACATTCAACCCCATAAAGTGGGGGTTTTTTTTATCATTCAGTATGTCACACTCAGTTTTTATATCTCTGGCCCTGCACAGAGACTCAAACAGACAATTGAAGAATGAAAAACAGGAAAGAATGGGCCCACATCATTGTGAAGTTGGGTGAGGAGAGACTATTATGCTTATTTTGCTTTCACTTAACTGACCCTCAAGGAGTGATGGTTGAACATGCTCAATGGTAACAGCTTTTTTTCATTAGTTGCTAATCACAGGTCATGTTCAAAGTTAATCACTCTGTAAGAAACCACCACATCAGTTGTACAGGTTGTGCACTGCACAGGATCACAGTCTAGGTAAATGACACCTCCTGAAGTTGTTTAGTGTACAATCTATACGGCTGTACAGGACAGCTCTCGTGAACATTGTTTCCTTAATCCTGACAACCTCTTCTTATTCCTAAATTAACAGATGGGAAATTTACCCACACATCCTAAACGTTGTGGAGTCAGAATTCAAACCCAGTAATCTATGATTATAAAATCTTACCTCTCCCTAAGAAGAGCAAGATTAAAGTGCAAATATTACTATAATACACTGATGGGCAAAGATTAGGGTACAAAGATTAATATAATGTACTGAGGGTGTCAGCATCCCAGAGCTATGTCACCTCCATCCTCAAATCTTCCATAGCTCACCTGCAGGTAGAGAGCGGCCATCCACAAAATTGACAGGCTTGTTGAGCTGGCGGTACACCTGGGGCACAGGTGGGTACAAGCGGAAGCTCTCCTTGATGCACAGGGTCAAGTAGGTCATCTTGCCCAGATCATCCCTGTCAACAACACAGTAGGGCTAATTTTGAGCATGGGGAGCAATGTGGTCCTGTGGCAAGGCAGCCTTCAGCCCCAGCTTACGCCCTCACCACTACGCCCTTGCTGAGCGTGAAGGGTGTAAAAAGGCACATGAGCTCCAAGTGTCCAGGCCAGATCAGGCACTGAGTAACCGCTCTGACTTAAGTTCTCTGGTTTCACTCTTTCATCTCCTCTTCATGTTCAACATCATGTGGGGAAGTTATCAAGGACAAAGTCACTCCTGTATCTTAAGAAATACATTCTTTAAGTTCTGCTTAATTTCCTCTGCTGATCTGACACAAAATGTCAGATCCACATAATTGAATATGATGAGCTCAGAGCCTGATGAGCTAAAAAGAAAATAAAAGATTGTTTCTGGGGGAGATGTGGTGGCCTAGTGGCAAGAAGCTGCACTGCAATCCTAAAGGCATGCAGTTTGAATCCACAGATACTTCACTGGAGAAGGAGGAGCAATTTCCTCCCATGCCAGTCTGATCTGATTTGATGGTACAGAACAAGGAAGGGAAAAAACAAAACAGAGAGAGATTGTTTCTATTTTAGTTTGGCCACCAAGAAGCTCAGAACCAATAGGGAGGTTCCTCATCTAAAACTCTTATTGCCATCGAGTCAGAACAAACTCACAGGTCCAGCAGCTTTTAGAGGCTACAGAATAGCATAGGAAGAGAGTGTCCATCCTTCTCCCTCACAGAAGTTGCTGGATTCAGACCACGTGCTTTTAAGTTGGCAGCACAACTCCTGATCCAGTAGGCCAACAGACCTCTTGATACCTCATAAAGGTGTTCAAACTCTAAGTCTTTTTGTCATTCATCCTGATTTTTTGTTTGTGATTTTATTATTTTATTAAATATGTGTTATAAGCTGCTCTATTATTAAGGAAACTCTGGTGGCAGTCCATAGGGAATTGTACTGCTAACACAAAATCTGTGTCTACCTAAGAATTCAAATCTCTTTTCATACTATTTACAGCCCCAGAAATTTGCTGGAGGGTCAGCTATGGGTCAGTTCAAACTTAACAGTAACAAAGGAGGGAGATATAGAAGCTGCTTTAGATATCCCTAGGTAGCAAAAACAGTTAACAAAATGAGCTGATGGCCAAAGTGTTGGAAGTTCTAATTCACCCAGAAGTACAAAAAAAAAGCCTGACAAAAAGAGGGAAGGAGAGGTGGTGGGGGGCTGAGGATGAGGAGGGGGGTAAATCACATGGTTGCAGTTTGGTGGGTTGAGGGGGAGGAATGTACGTGAGGGAAACACAGTGTAAATAAATTATTGTATACAAATCAACAACCAAAAAATTTTTTTAAAGGCCTGACAATTTACTTCTGAAAAATCAGCCATAGAAAACACTACAGAGCACAGTTCTGACACTCAGAGACTTAGAGTTGACTCAATGGCAATGATTAAGCTCATTTAATTTCTATATGAAATTAAAGTGGGGGAAAATAAAGAAAAACCTATTTTTAAACTTCTGTCTTCACACTTTGCTCACCTCATTATTTTACCTGGGTGACCAGTTGGTCCCTCTTCTTCTCCCTACCTCTTTCTCCTTCACCCCTCCTCTGCCCTCAATGTCTAGTCCACTTAATTTTATCCTAGTATAACTCATTCTCTCTGTGGTTTTTCTCTCACTTCAATAATTTGTTCATAAATGTCCCCCTAGGGCAGGGTTTTGTTTTTTCCTTCCTGTTTGCCCTACTACCTCCTCCAACAACATCTAGCTAGAAACGTTGGAAGATTTCCACTATTCAATGAGTAAAAATGCATAGTAAGGACTTCATCCTCTAAATTACAGACCTTTGTGTTGCAGTTTCAGTCTCTTCTAAGTGAATATAGATTTCTTCATGACTGAGTACTACCTCTGAGGCACTACTGTGTGTCTAGCCCATGTTGAAGACAGTGCATGAGCCTAAGAGGAAAGTTGAAGTGTGTCTAACCCTGGGGGCCCTGCAGAGAGGAGGCCAAGAGAAGAATGTGGGGAGAGGAGGAGTGAAGACAGTGACGGAGAGGAGCTTGATGGCACTAAAAGAAAGTCCCAGAGTTAATTGTGTGTTGGTGGCTTCAGGCTTGAGCTACCAAATAGGCACAAACCATTGATTGAAATGTTGTTTTTCCTTCACCAGAGGAAAAGACCACGGTTTTGGGAGACTGTCGTGCCATCCAGTGGCAAGTGGAAAGGGAGCAGAATTGCCCATCATCACAGTTCTTTTCATCATGAGTTTTCACTTCTTTGTTTTTCTGTTCTCTTGCACTATCTAGAGAAGCAGACTCACAGCCAGTTCTGCCACTGGAGGAAGTGAGCACATAAGCAAACTTCCTCCTGTCGGCAATCTTCTCTAAGTACATCTGACAATTGTTCCATTTTACCAGAATGTGTTGAGAGTGTCTACACTTCCCTTCTCTTCAACAATCACACTAGAACACTGGAAGGACAGGAGAGCTACTGCTGCCCCATATGGTTTCTGGAATGACCCTGGGTTTTTGCAGATGACAGAAGACAGAAAGCCACAGACCTTTCCTGGGGCTGATCTGGACAGGGTAGGCTAGGCTCACCCTCAGTGTCACTCACCACTGGATGGTGTCCCGGTCCCCCAGGATCTCGCGAATCTCCTCCCTACAGCGTTGCTGGTGCTCAGGGTACAGGGCCATGCAGTAGAGAAACCAGGAGATGCCACTGGTGGTGGTGTCATGTCCTTCAAACATGAATGTGTCCACCTCGGCCCGGAGATCTGTGTCAGACAGCTTGCTCCCATTTTCATCCTGGGTTAGGAAAAAAGCACAATAGAACCACTCAAGAAATTTGAAATAGGCAACATAATAGCAGACAGTCAAAAGTCCAATCAAGGGAGGAAAAACTTTTTCAGACTAGGTGTTCATTCATAGAAACTCATCTGGACTGCCTTTTTCCCAGAAAGCCTTTCTGGATCCTTCTCCTAAGCAATTTATGACATTATGCAGGCCAGTGTCAGTCCTGCTCGCTTGTCAGATGGAATGCCTCCTAATGGAGGAAGCCATTTTTATCCATGCCTACCTCTTCCATTCATCTAAGCTTCTAGAAGGCAAAATCGGGTCTTTCTCATCTCTGCATCCCTATCGTAGGGTAAAGCTGATGATAGGAGCTCATTGAGTTTGTGGAGTAGGTGGAAAAATGAACACATGAACTCTAAGATTCTAAGATTTTAGGATTTTAAGATCTTCAGGATCATGTTGTTGTCAATTGCCATTGACTTCAACTTAGAGCAAATAAGTGTATAGCAGAATGAAATGTTACCCAGTCCTGTACCATTCTCATGATGGTTGTATGTTGGAGTCCTTTGTTATATCTATTATATTTATCTGTCTCACTTAAAAGAGGCTTCCTTCATTTTGCTATCTAAAACTGGTCATCAAAATAAATATATAAATAGATAAAAATGGTCATCAGGACCATTATCACACCACACCCTGCACCTTCTGTCTTCGGAGGCTTTGCTAATATGTCCCAAAACAATGAACAGGTCATTTTTGCTGGGGGAGAAATCAACAGGAAAACTACTTAACAACCTCTCTCTCCTGTGCATTAAGGTATGCCTGAGGAATTTGAGGATGGGATGTCAGGGCAATCTCTGGGGCTAGTTCAAAGGTGGATTAGACAACATCACTGACCTGAGCCCCGAGGAGAATGTCCAGGAAGTCCAAGTGTCTCCTTTTCTGGATCTTTTCCCGCTCTCTCTCATCCTGTAGAGCAGCCTTCCTCTCCTTGATGACCTGGTCTGGGCCAGGAACACAGAGGGTCACTGCCAAAGAACTTGTCCTCTGCCCAAAAACAGGCTGAAGCCCAGCAAGGCCCTGAGATTCCAGAAGGCCTAAGGAGGAGCTGCCCTAGAGTTCAGGTTTCCTGAGGGTGGACCCTGAGAGAAAGGCCCACCTGTATGGTCATGAGCTGCCTGGCAAGCACGAAGGAAGCGGCGACCATGGGGGGTGAGCCAGTAGATGAAGTCATTGTGGTACTGGAAGGACTCAATGCGCTGCTGCATCAACAAGGTGAGATCGCTGACTGCCAGGTAGTAGCTGTTGTCCCTGAAAAGGTGGAGGGAGGGGTGGCTTAGCGTGGACCCAGGAGGCAGCCCTGAGCAGCTCCTATTTAAGACTGTGGTCCTAGTTACAGCCCTCTCTGACCCCTTCTTGCCTTTTAACCCCACACTAAAGCTACAATGTGTCTTCCCACCAAGGGAAAGTTCTCTGCTCTCCAGGAACTAGGATGCCCTAGGGTAAGGCCCTTCCTCCTCTCAGAACTCCATCAGCTCCCTTCCTAGCTGGCTTCTGGGGAAGGTACAATCAATCCCAAAGTGCTCCCTGACCTTTGACCTAGGCCACTATTTCCTTTGCCAAAGGTGCATTTCATGAGTGTGTCCAGCGCCATGCGGCCCACGTCGGAGAAGATGTCAAAGCTCTTATCCTCACGAGCCTTTTTCTCCCACTCATCCTGGAGTTAAAAAACAGAAGTCAATGTGGGGACCCAGCCTTGCTGGATTCCCTACCTGGCATTCAGGATCCATGGCCTACCCTTCCCCACCACAACCTCCCTTACACCCAAGTCCTAGCCTGCCCTCTATCCTACTGTAATATAGGATGCAGATAGAGGTTTGAGGAGATAGGGTCAGAGAATAGGAGCAGGAGGTAAACCTTATGGAGCATTTACAGATACTGTTTGCAGGCAAGGGGTGGCCTATAAGAAGAGAAGGACCAAAGGTGGGGATCTCGCCAGGGACAGTTGGCTTGAGCCAGTGATGCTAAGGAGGAGTTTCCTACAAGGCAAAATGCTAGCATGGCTGAGTTTAGGAATTATGCAGCCCTGTAGACCCCTGACCTCTGAAGTCTGTTAGAGATGAGTCATTAATGACATTATTTTAGACAGCAGAGAATGAAAACTAGAAGCTCTGCAGATGTAAAAGGTCTTCATGATGATCTAGGTAGCTCTCAAATCTGCTATAGTTGGAGTCTTATTTAAGCCTTATGAAGCCCCCTTGGCCTGAGAAATGGGAGAGCTGGGTCTCCCAATGGAGATAAGAACCAGGAGCTCCCTGGAAACGTGGAGCTTCACCACCAGATGAGTTTCTGGTTGTGGACGTCTCATTCAGAACAGGGCTTCTGCATCATTGTTGCTTGCAGAGTGGGACCTCTCGCCTCAGAAATTTCCTGCTGCTAAGAGCAGTGACCTCCTCCAGCTCTTTACGTTAATACTAGGGGACATTGTGGACTGACCCAGCGGTCAATGCCCTCCAGGATTCTGGCACAGTGAGCTTACCAGCATGGCATTTGTAGATTCAGAAAACACAGCCACATATGGCTTCAGCACATCATAATGAAAACCAGGTGTGAGCAGCTTGCGGTGCTGATACCACTTGGTCCCTTCAAGGACCAGCAGGCCTTTCCCTGAGAAAGGGATGGGACAGGAAGGAGCAGTCAGTCTGGGTGATCCTGTCCTTTATTGTGCAGTCTGGGACCCAGCAGATGGCTTGTCCTGGAAACTACCCAAAGTCATACCCCTCAAGGTGTGCTCACTAATAAATACATATTGCTTCCTATGCCCTTGCCAGTAATCAGGCAGTAATTTTTAGATAGAGCTTATATTCATGATTCCCAAGTCCTCAAAGCACAGGAAGTGGCAGTGGTTCAGCTTCTGCCTCCTTGCTGTATTCACAAAGACTAGGCTCCGGGAAATTGTGTTCAGAAAGTACTTGACTCAGACAAATGGGGTGCAGCTCCACGGGGAAAGCCAGGCAAAGGAAAGCTGTTGGGCCTTAACTCTCAACTACTGAGACTTATGGTCACAACGTCACATCTTGAGGAAGATTCCATAGTGTGTGTCTCATGGCCTCAGGCAAATCTCTCTCTCTCTCTCTCTCTCTCTCTCTCTCTCTCTCTCTCTCTCTCTCTCTCTCTCTCTCACACACACACACACACACACACCCCTCCTATGCACACACAAAGAGGAATGGAAATGCATTGCTATGTGAAAATGCCTCTGCATTTCTCTACACATTTCTTAAATGTCTTCTTATTTTAGCCTAACTAGATCCATTTCAGGGAGCTCTGGTTGCTAAGTGGTAAGGAATGACACTGCTAATCCAAAAGTATGTGGTTTAAATCCACCATCTGCTCAGCGAGAGAAAAGTGGGCAATCTCCACTGGTGCAAAGTATTGCCTCTGAAAAACCACTGGCAAGTCAACTATGAGTTGACTTTGACTCTATGGTACATACCAACACAACCATTTCACATGAGAGAAATATGGGCTAACTCATCCCATGCAATTTATAGCCTCCGAAAACCCACTGAAGGGTCAGCCATCAGTTGACTCTGACTCAATAACACATAACAACAGCAACAATAACACACTCATTTAATAAGTGAAAAAAACACTAACATTTTCAGAGCCCAGAAAAAGACTCCCTTATGTTACTGGATTAAAAAGAGGCCTAGCTACTAATAAAAAAAGTCAATGGATCAAACCTACCAAGTACTCTTCAGGAAAAAGTTATGACAGTCTGCTTTCATAAAGATTACCAAAATCAAAACCACTTCCCTCAAGTCAGTTCCAATTCATGGTGTCCCTCAGTCAAGTTTCTGAGACTATAAATCTTTATGGGAGGAGATTGTCCATCCTTTTCCTGTGGACCAGCTGGTAGATTCAAACTACTGACCTTTCAGCTAGCATCCTAATGCTAACCCTATGTCCCTAAACCCTAATGCTAAACCCAATGTCCCTAAACCTTCAGGGACATTGTTCAGGGAGTGGGAATATTAAATTCTTCACTATAATATTACATTTTTTTTACTGTACCACCAGGGTCCTTTAATGAGTATTGCCTGAGAAACCCTATGCAATAATACTCTGTCCTATAGGATTGCTATGAGTCAAATTAACTCAACAGCAATGATTTTGCTCTTTTGATTTGTTGCTGGAGGCATTTGTTTACACATTTTTTTGGTCTTGCTTTTTGGTATGTTACAGTTAGATAAATGGGCCTGTGAATGGTTTTTATCCTCTTAGTCCTGTCCTTTCTTAGCTCCCAAGAAGATGCTAAGGCTATCATTGGATCATGAATGAAAGAAGGATTTAAAGAACCTATGGTCCTGGATCAAGATGATTTAAAGGCTCTCATGCATCCTTGACATCAAGCTATACTCCTCATTCTAGCAAACTTCACCAATGAGACTCTTCTCCCACCATTCTCTGTCTTCTGGCTATTCTGACAGCCTAGAGTTCTAAGTGGCACTCACATGGATGCTATTATTTCACATTTTCTCAGGAACCCTATTCAGTACCACTTACTGAAAGTTCTTATGGAATCCAGTACTATCCCTTCCACAAAGCTGTGAACATACATTCTCCAAGAGGTCTTTCTCTGACTGTCCAAGAAACAGGAAAAATCCAATAGTGAAAGAAGTCTACGTCTCAATTTCCCACCAACCAGGGGGAGCTCACTTGCCTGTCCCTTGTTCCCCCGTTTTTAGACTTTTGATAGATACATGGAGGGCAATACATAATTCTAAAGGAACAATTAATTGAGTGAGGGCAAATCATGATCCTGGCCACCCAACACAAATGGACTTGGGATGCGAAGGATAGGGAAGGCAGGAGTGTCTCACTCACCAATCCACTGAAGGAAGAAGTCATAGACATCTGGCGCCTTCGGATCTGCAGGAGAAAGCTTGGTTCAATAGTGGCTACAGTTGTTCTCAGAGGAGACGTCTTTACAAAGGTGGGTAGAATCCTTGATGACTGTTCTAAAACTCAGACCACATGCCCGCCCTCCTCATCCCAGGCTTTTATTCAGCCCTTATTCTTAGAAAGACCCACCCTTTCCCAGGAGTCCTCACCACCACGACTGTACACAGCTTTCGCGTAGTCAGGTTCATAGATGTTCAAGAAGCCGATGAACTGCCCAAACCAGAGTGGGTGAGCGTAGGGAAATTGATGGGCCCAGGACACCACTTTGTCCAGACTTTCTGTCTGCTGAATCTGCAATGATGACAGAGACTCCGAGCCATTTGTAAACCAGGACCCAAATCTCAGAGCAGGGAAGGGGGAAGGACATCCAGGTAGGTCCTGAATGTTTCTTTCTTATGATAAAGACTAACAGGAGAGATCTGCTTAGACAAGTGGTCAGGGGAGGCCTGTTCCTGGAGATATTAACATAAACCCCAAAGGTTAATCAGGATCTGACTGAGTGAAGAGTAGAGAAAAGGCATTCTAGGATAAGGGGCAGCAGGGCCCTGAAGTAGGAAAAACATGGTGTCTTTGAGGAGCTGCCACATAATGAGACAGGATCACAAGGTAAAATTAGAAAAACCATTTGAAGGGTAATCTGAAACTACTTTTTTGTTCATTTCACATAACTTGTCTTTCTAAGTTAGTGTGGGTAATTGTATCTCACTGGGGAGAGGTATGTCAGAGACAATGAAATTGGCTCAAGACAAGACAGAGTTCAGAGCTATTATTGTACAGATCTTATTATATAAGGTCACTGCAAGGAGCAGGTGATTTGATGGCACATAAAAACAGCAAGAATTTTTATTTATTATCCAAAATCTTGGACAGTGAGAAATGGGCATTCAAATCTTGATTTCCACTCACCACCCATTTTCTAGCTGTATAAAGTCAGGAAAATTCCTTAAAGTGTGTGAATCTTTATCTTCTGATCTTTAAAATGAGGGTAATTATGCATACATTTTTGTTTGCTTTGATAGTAAATTAAATTATACAGGAAGTATGCATAGTAAGTCATGTGACATTGACAGTCTTTAACCTGGGTAATGCATTGAAGAACCTAACATTAGATCTTACTCAAGGTACACCCTCAACCCTTAATTCCCTCTCCTTCAAGCCTACCTTTCTTCAATGTGTCTTCAAGCCTCTTCCCTCCATAGTCTGCCCCATTCTACTCCTAAGTGCCCCCCAATGACTCTAGAGAATGTGCTCCAAGCATGGCCGACATACTTAAACATATGGGTAAAAGGATACTTGTACGACACTTGTTGTTGGGTAAAGAAGCTTTCCCCAGTTCCTCTCTAACCATGTTGAGTATCCCTCTGCAAAAATCTCTCTAATCCTCCACCAGCTGAAATCTGTCCATATGCTAAGCTTCTCCAGTACTATTAGAACTTGCCTCACCTTCTACTTTTTGTTAAAACTACTTGCATCCAAGGTAAAAAGCAATGATATTAACACTAACTTCATTGAGATTTGACATGTGGCAGACATTGCATTCAAAGGGCTATGCATATTATTTCATTTAATCCTCAGAATACCCTGTAAAATCGGCACAATCATAATTCCCACCTCATAGATGAGGTAACTGAGGCTCAGTCATATGGTTAATTAGGATCCTTAACTCCACCTAGGTATGTGATTTCACAGATTGTTTCATGATATGATGTGAAAAGGATAATTCCTCCATTTTACAGAATATATATATATATAGTTGTTGTTGTTGTTGTTTAAGTGCCGTCGAGTCACAAGTGACTCTTAGTGACCCTATGAATGCAAATCCTGAACACCTCCTGTATAACTTTCATCCTTTCTCCAGGTTTATAGGGTTTTCCAAGGCAAGCTTTTGTGGAAGTGGATGCTACTCCTGCTTCCAAACTTGTTTTAATTGGGGGAGCTACTGGGCATTTTACAGAATACATTATTTGTAGTAAGAGCTCTGGTGGCATAGTTTGTAATTGTTGTTGTTTTATGTGCCATTGAGTCACTTATGACAAATAGTGACCCGATGTACAACAGCCCTAAAACCTGCTCTATCTTGAGCCAAATTTATTATCTCTGACACACCTACCTCCATTACCACAGTCACTGAATCAATCCATCTCATCAAGAGTCTTCCTCTCTTGTACTATCCCTCCACCCTCCCAAACATGATGTCCCTCTCCAAGGAGACTATATATATATATATATATATATATATATATATATAGTGTGTGTGTCAAATCTTAACCAACCCATAGCTGACCCTCAGACACAGTAAATTGCATGGAAAAAAATTGCTCATCCTTCGCCCAACAAGCTTTGGGTTTCCTGAGTGCAGAGATACATCTATGCCATCTCCAGTTCCCTCACAGAGCTCAAAAGAGAGCTTCAGGATTCCAAGATGGCAGCAGCGGCAGAAACAACGTAGCAAGCTGCAGGAGCAGCAGACCACATGAAGGAGGGCCACCATGGCCTTCTACAGACCTCTGTTTATTGATAATTGAACAGTTAAACAGTTGATGGCTGGTCTTCAGGATGGATTAAGGCTCAACATCAGGAGATCAAGCATTCCCAGGGAGGAACTGGTGAGTCCCACTGCTCCCAGCCCCCTGCTGCTGAGCCCGTGCCACTGCTGCAGCTCCATGAGGCTCCCACTGCTGGACCCCATGGATCCCCTCACATAGGATGGAGAGTAGGTTCTGCTCTCCCTGCCACCCCTCCACCCCCACCCCTGCACTGAGGCTGGTGCAGTGGAGGTGCCACACCACTGCAAAGTGGACTACTTGTTCTGGGGAGGTTTCCTTAGGCAGGCCAGAGAGGAAGATCACCAATACAATGGATTGATTAGAGTCACTGTGAGCTGTCTATGACTTGTCGACACTTAACAGTGGCAGCATGTCCAAGATGGCAGATATTCTAAATGCACCACATCTTTTGACTGCCACTGCCAAGAACTGTTTAGACCTGGGGGGGGGGGGGCGTGGTCTCTTCACCACTTTCAGGTTCCCTTCTCCATTTATAAAGGGGGAAGGCAGTGACACCTACTTCAAATTACACTATGACCACTTATTGGGGGCAGGGGGGTGGGGGGTTAAGGTGGCAGTGCTGGAATTGGGGACACTGTTCCTGGCCACATGGTCTTTGGTGAGGCATGAGGTCCGGACTTGGGGGGGGGGGACTTTGGTGGGGAAGTGTGCCAGCCAACCCCTAGGGTGTGTCTTCCAGCCCTCAGGGAGTGCCGTCCAGCCCTCGAGGTGGGCTATTTGGCCCTGGGGGAGAGATATTTGGTCCTTAGGGTGCAGGGCAAGCCATTCTTGGCCCTGGGGCAAACCGGCCCTTGGAGGGAGCTCCTCAGCCCTCAGGTTGTGCCATCCGACTCCTGGGTAGAAAAAACTGCCTAGGATGTACAGAGAATTTTATCTACGCTACTTTCTGCCACCCTTTCCCCCAGTATACCCTTAAGTAACACCTGCAAAGCCCTTCTATTGTAACTCACAAGTTTGTTCTCTCTAGGTTTGCTCCCTTTCCTATAGGTAACCTTAACACTGAGTTTATTCCAGACCTGACCCTGAACACAGTTTCAGAGACAAAAATGAAATACAACTGCCAGCCAAGGAAGCAAAGGAGGATGGAGCCTCAGGGTTCAGTTAGCCATCCCCACTGGACCCACCTGGGAAAACACTGTGCAGTCCAGAGGGGAGTAAAAGTCAGGAAAATATCTTCTAATAGAGCAAGAAGACAAGCAGCTTTAACCCAAGAACTCCAGTAAGGTGATAAAGTGTCCTCCCTTCCCCCTTCACATCAATGCCCCTGTTCAGCATGAAGAAGCCAGAGAGTCTGTGCCCAATTCCCAAATGAGAAACCCACAAGTGAATAACACAGTTTGTTTAATCACCATTGGACTATGCTTATCATTGCCCTGTATGATCTTGTCCCCACTGGATCCTTTAATTTCCTTCATCTGCTTCCATACCAACCAAATTGTGCAGCCCCCAACTTCATCCCTCCAATTTTCATCCCTGCCCATCCTCACCCTTCTGCTCCCAACCCTCACCTCCTTGTAGCTGCAACATGTTTTTCCCAATAAAATTAAAAAATTAAATTTAAAAAAGAGAGCTTCAGACATAGTATATACTTAACAAAGTAAATGTTGGATATTTGAGAGGAATTTTAAAAATAAAAAAGAAGAGAGGAGAGAAATCATACCAAGAATCTGGCTAATCTATTGGTATATTCACACAATGGAATAGTACGCTGCATTGAAAAACAAGGAACTCATGCAATATTATTCAAAATGGGTGACCCTGGAGGACATTATGCTGAGTGAAACATCTCAGTCACAAAAGGACAAATACTGTATGGTGCCACTGTTATAGAATGAGGCTGACATCAAGGTGGGGGTGAAACAGAAAAACTGGATAAATTATGTATACTGCATTGAAGCCAATGAGGGAAAGAACAGTTTAAAAGTAATATATTTTAGGCATTATGATTATCATAATAGTTCAGAATGAGGGTTGCAGAGTGGAGTATACTTGGGGTGGGGGTGGGGAGATGCGGGGGGATTATATACCAATAGAGGAGTTTTTTTCCTTTTGCTTTTCAAGGAGAAGAGCGAACAGCATGTGGCGGTGGGGTGGGGTGGGCTGGGAGAAAAGTGCAGCAATGAATGAATAGAAACCCAAAATCTCTGTAAATGTCCATTGAAATTCAAAAAAGAAAAAAAAATCTGGCTAATCTAAACATTTGCCAGAGATGGTCAGTCTTACGAGGAACAAGCAGAAGATCTTGCTCAATGTGTGAGTTTATGGAAGGGTCACCATTAGCACTTCCCTTTATAGTAAACTGATCAAATTTCTATTTGTTCTCTACAGCTGGTCCTAGTCTCCCTGTTCTGTCTAAATTTATACTCATTTTAGCATTCTGTCTCTTTACACAATGAATAAAAAGGAAAAGATATGCATTAGTACCTACTATGTGTGTGATTTCACAGATTGCCTCATAATCTCATAAAAAGCATAAAGGATGATTTCTCCCATTTTACAGGGAGTTGCACTCACATTGAAATACACACATATATGTTATTTTGTGCTGAACCAACCTATAACTGCCCCTCAGCAGGTTTTAAGCAGTGAATCAAACAAAAGAAGATTATCCATCCTTCTCCTGTGGAGCAGCTGATGGATTTGAACTGCCTGCCTTTGGGATTGCAGCATAGCTTCCTAACATACTGTTTAATCTATCCAGACTTTATGAAAACAGTTTCTGAACACCTTACTATGAATGATACATGCAACCCGGAATGTATATAAGCTTCACAGACACTTTGGCTATGTCCTGACAATTGGAGCCTTATTTTTGGAATGATGAATTTCTCTGTGGGCATGCAGTCTCGTGCAGTATACAGATTACATGTGGTTGTAGCCTTTGAGTATGACCATTCTCCCTTCTTTTCTTCACCATCTTGGAATTGAAAACTCAGAAGCTGGCCATGTTCTTCTCCCTGGAAAATCCCTCCTCAAACTTTCTAGTCACTCAATTCATGTTGTAATATCTTGAAGACAACCTTGAGGAAGGGCACAGAGCAAACACTTTAGTTTCCCATATATCCTTCTCTGACCAGGCTACTGAAGAGGCTACCCCTGTTAGTCCTGGAAATTTTCTGGCTACTTTAGTTTGCCGTGAACCTTGCTGCCTTCTCTGGGGTTTCTCTCTTCCCAGGTTCTCTACACACTCCATAGGCCCCTTACTTCACTGCTTCTGAATTCAGCAGTCTAGTCTCCCTTCTGTCCGCAAGAGGACTTGTAAGAGTTTTTACTGGCCTTGAGTACCCACGTCAAACAAGCACAGAGTGGTAAACATCATCCCCCCCACTCACTGGTAAGAGAGAACCTTCTGGTGTCGCTGATTCTTTCCCATCCCATATTCTGCATGCGATCCCTGGAAGTGCCCCACCTCAGCCAGTGTTTGTCTTATTTTTCCATGTTCCTTTCTGAGTTCTCATCTGCATCCCTCCCACATCTCAGGAACCCAGTTAGGTACTGGCAGAAGGAGCCTACATCACAAAGGAGTCAGATAACTAGGAATTTGGGATTGGAAGAAGAATTTGAATAATCTGTTTCATCTAAGCCCCACTCTTCTTTTTGGCTTTGCACGGGCTCCTCTGTAGCACTCTATAAGAGACAGGAGCCTTGAACTTGTGCTAACCATGTTCACAGTTTAAACCTGCACCTGCTCCTTACTCTTACTTTCCCCTACATGTCTTTGTCCAGAAAAACCTGATGAACATAAGGACGTATTCCAGCAGCCTGGTCCCACTGTGGGAGCTTCGGTGGACTGGGGTGTCCTATCTCTGAAGGGCATCAGACTGCCTGGCCAGATCCTCTGGTTACACAACTGGACATCTCAAATCTGTTCCCAGATGTCCTGAGCTGAGATACTTTCAGGACATGGAGGCCTGAGTCAAGCTTGTTTTTCTTACAAAGGAAGGAAGCAGAGAAAGATCAGGGCAGCAACTGTTGGCCTCACTCCCTCATCCTCAAATTCACACTCCTCTTTGACCTCATTGAAAATAAACAATAGGAAGTGGGAGTAGCAAGCTTTAACTCATCACTGATCAGTCTCTTTTCTGCTCCCCTGGAGTCCACGCAAAGTCAACATTGCCTCCTTGAACCACACACCCATCTACAGGTGAGAAGGCTGAAATAAAAAAAAAAATCCAATTTCAATATGCAAAGCTGAGTTATTTAAAGCAAAACCACATGCAAGAAAAATCATCCACAAGTTAGAAGGGAACCATCTCACAGGAATCCAGGCTGACTGGAAATCCTGACTAAGACTCCTGCAACAAGTCATAGTCAATGAACCAGCTATACCCACAATTGTCAAAGCAGGAAAGTGGAGAAAAGAAATCTGTTCACAAACAATGGTGGGAGTTTATGAAAACATTTGGGAAGGGCCAATAGAAATAATTATCCCTTCCCCAGCATATTGGAGTCCCTTTGAGGCAGGTCATGTTGCTGTCACCTTCAGAATACCAGGGTTGCCTAGTGCAGCACCTTCACAACATGAGAATCCCGACCCCTAATGGCTAAAAGATTTCTTATGACAGAAAATTTACTACTTTTCAAAACAGCATAATCTTCGGAATGTTCTCATTCTTTATATGATTCTTAGACACTTCCTGTGGCCTTTCTTTCACTTTCCCCATGTATCCTCACTCTGTTCTAGAGAATCACACAAACTCCCACTGCCCAAGGAAGTCCTGAAGGGATTGGGAGTTGGAGGCCCAGTTCTCCTGGGTCTGTGCTCCTCCAGAATGGGCATCTTAGGTTGCCTTGGGTACCCCACCCTGAAAGTCCTCATACATATTCAAGACTGCTGTTGCTTATTAGGTTCAGCAAAGCTGTGCATTTAAAGCAAAAAGATCATGAGCACCTGCTGAGAAAATCATTCAGAAGTGGAAAAGAGTCAGCTCTCTGAAGCAACCATTGGTGGGAATGAACTTAGTTTAAACAATCTCTAGGTACTCAATTATGGAGTTGAGCAGCAAGCTATGGAAAGGCTGAAGGGAGAGAATTTAATAGTAAAGATTCTTAGGAACAGAGAAGTGCCTTCCCTACAACTTTAGTAATAATCAAGCGACTTCACTCTTTATCCTCCCTTTCA